CTCTATAGCTGATGGTACATTGCTCTGTACAATATACAGTACAGCAGAATGTACCATCAGCTATAGAGAAATACAAATCCCAGCAATACATTATAGGAGCACCATGTGGGGGAGTGCAGGCTTACCTGAGCAGTCTTCCAGCAACTTACTTCTTCTACCCGTGTCCCTGTGCCGATCGTGGGCGGGTGGTGAGCGTGAGGCATGGAGGAGGTGCTGCGTGTGGAGCGTGGAAGCGGCCGGGCCTGGCAGCGAGTGTGAGGTGGGGAGGAGGTGTGGCGCGCAGCGTGTGTGGAGCCATGAACAGGGCCAACCAATCAGAAGCCGATTAATCGATTATTGAAAAAGTTGACAACTTTTTCAATAATCGATTATGTCGATTAGTTGTTGCAGCCCTATCCTGTACATTACAGGAAGTTGTTAGACGTGCGGACGAGGAGTGCCTGCCTCTTCTTCCGAGTCTGGTACATTACAGGAAATTGTACAAACATCTGTCCAAGTTGCATTTAAAGTAGAACTCCATGCAAACCTCATTTGTTTTTGGTTAGTATGGTGTGGGATTAGAGCTACTGTGAGGACAGCAAAACAGGGTTAACCTTTCACTATGCTATCCAAAACTAAAAAATGTTTTTTTGGCTGGAGTTGCACCTAAAAAATTTACTTTGTTCCAACTGGCATACAAATTCAGAAAGAGAGAGTGTTTGGAAAGATGGGGTTTTTTAGGCACTCCAAATGATGATTCAAAATAATCTTTTTATATAAAATGTATAAAGTTTATTAAGTACATGGTTAAAAGAATAAAGAAATGAAACGAAAGTAATGATGAGCACAGACACTTCTAATATCCACCGCTACCCTGAGTATTGACTAATTAGCATCAAGTTAACATGATTGGTTTAAAGAGTTATTGCATAGATACAATTCATTAGTGGGTCTCAGCTCCCACACTATGGTTGACACACTTCAATCGATGCGGCGACTGGTATGAAATAATTAATTAAGGTTTCTAGATCCTGTAAAGTTCAACAGAGTTCCGCTGAATGAACTTTATAACATGTCCGTATACTATAGATTCAGCATGTCATCTGCTGCAGCTAGACATGCTTTGATATCACATGATTAGTTGACCCTTATCCTGATTTTTAAAAATTGTCACCCTATAGTCATCAATTGGTATGTGTTAACCATTCACATCTTGTTTATGCCTTTAACAGGAATACATGTTTTTAGTTGGTTTTAGGAGTGGTATTCTTAATATAGTTTCCTAACTTAAACCCGGGGAATTATAGCTGGTTTCGCATATCACTACGCTTCTTCAGGTCTAGAAGTAGTCTAAAATAAAGATATAGAGGTATAAAATGATCATATAAGTTGTCTGATCAACATAAAATATAAAGTAATATGACAACTTATATGATCATCTCTCTTTCTACAAAAAACTAGGGGTGTGGCACTCATGTCTTAAACACCATTCCCTTCCTCTGTCCCTTACTCCCTCCCCCCCTTGGATATTACATTGCATACAAATTCCACTTAAGAACAAGCTTACAGTCCCTATCTTGTTCGTAACCCGGGAACTGTCTGTATTTTGAAACCTTCAGCTTTTGCTTTACATTCTGATCTCTGTGTTTTTGTCCCGTTGCTTTTTTTTATATAATAATAAATCATTTATGAAAAGATAGGAGAGCAAACACATGTAAAAAGTCACAAAACGAACCTGAGTTCAGTAGAAGTATAATAACATTACAGCAAAACAGGCATAGAGAACTCGTATATTCCCGCCTAAACCACCAAGCAATCCTAATGTAAAATTGTGACTAATACATACAAATTTTACATCACACGTTGAAAACCCCCTCCATCAGGGTTTTAGTTTTTAAATTGTAAAATATATAATCACAGGGACAAACCAGTAAGAAAAGTAGGTGAAAGAGCTAAGGTGAAAGGAAGGCAAACAACAACAGAAGGAACCATGAAAGTCTAAGGTGAAGCAGAAGCCAAAAGGCATGCCATCTGAGGTCTTGTTGCTTTTTGTTCTTTTATATTCTCCCTTCCCACTTCTGTCTATAAGGCTCCATCCTGGAAATAATAATTTAAATTAAAAAAAGATTAAAGACCCACTTGTTCATTTAGACCTATGGAATTAGCCATTACCTTCGTAATAATGTTTTTATATTCTTGTGTGTACATCTATTTGTTTGTAAAATTATTTAAATATTTGTCCTGTTTATCTTAGTTGAGACACACACACAGGTCAGATGAAAACCGGGCTAAATTACTTGATTCAATATAAACATTATGATCTTCTTTTTCATCTAATAGGCTTAGGAAAATATATATGGGGTTCTTAACAGTTTCAAAAAGTAAAGCTTAGAAGCAACTGAAGTGTTTGAATGATTTTTCATATACTTTATCTTTTATATGTGTAAACATGTGTAGAAAATACAAGGGAGTGGGAGTGCCCGAGCCTTGTCTTTTGTTTTTAAAGGAAATGACATTAAAGGTAGGCAATTGTTATTGTCTGAAAGCATTTTATATTTAGCGATCTTCACAAGTTCAGGTCACTCATACACAGCCAGTCTTTCAAGCCTCACAAATTGAGTATTTTCAGGTTTGTATCCCACTATCAAATATACATTTCTGATAAGTGACCTTTTTTTTTTGTTTGTCTAGAGGCATTATACTTTTGTGTAAATGTAATTGTATACATGTGAATATATGTAAATTATGTGTATTAAACATGCATGCGTACATGTATAAGAAGTGCGGCAATGTTTAAATGTTCAGATGCATTGGCTTATTGTATAAAGTCCTATTGGTCATTTTGTTCCGGTTGATCTTTGTATTTTCATTATATATTTGCTTTTTTGCATTAAAATTCTTGTGCTGCAGCCTTCATGAATTTTCTTTCGCAGGATTTAAATTTTGAATGATTTTTTTTGCGAATTGATTCATTTAGAGATGTGGTATAAAGTTGTTCAAGCTCTGAATACCTTAATGTTCATCCTAAACAATTTTGTCTAAGCTTCTGATTATAGCAGGGTTGCTTGTATGCAAATTATTGATCTCCTAATCTGAGAAAGTGTTCCTGTGCCTAAAGTGGCCGGGCCCAGCCTTTTTTTTTTTTTTTATGACTTATAGCTTTTGGAGGCCTGGGGAAATCATAATCTATTGTGAATTTTTTTTAATTAAATTTATTTTTTAGAAATTATTATTTTATTCTGTAATTTCATTGGGTTTCTTGTATCTGGTCAGATTAGATCAGTGGTGGCAAACCTATGGCACATGTGCCGGGAAGGGCACACAGGACCCTCTCTGCTTGCACAGGAGCCCAGGTTCAGGGACCACCAATTAAAATTCCATGTGGGAGAGGTTTTTCACTCTGTGAAAGTGTGTGCTCCTTCAGGTGTGTGGGGGGAAAAAATACTTTTCCAAGGAAAGCAGGGGCCCAATCTATTTGTTCCTCATGACAATCTACTTCTCAAGATACAAAAAACAATTTTAACCAAAATCGTATTTAACTGTGTGAAGAAGGTGACCACGCTGACCAATGAGTGCATGCAATTTGAGAGCGAAATTTCAAAATCTATAGTGCAGGGTACAGAGAGTACACCTGTACCGGCAGAGGGGAAGGACCGTTCGCTGAAAGTTAAGCGTAGCAGGGGGGAGAGAGGGCCTGATTTGAGCTGGTAACTCCATTTTCCCAAATTACTTGGGAACGTGAACTTACCCTTTAATGCGCATTGTTCGCGTTAGAACACCGGGTGACACCAAAATGACTGACTCATTTTGGTGTCGCCCCCTCTGAAAAGTCAGGCTCTCTTTCCTCTCAGCTGCACAAGAGAGGAGGGGACCCGGCGGCATACCTTGTCCTGCCAGATGAACGTCCCCTACTCTCCTTGACGGCGTCCATCACCAAGATAGCCGCCAGCAGTGAAGTGCATGTGACATCTTTATGTAATAACATGCGCACGACACCCGGCCTGATTTATTCACATGCGGGTGGTGGGGTAGGTTTTAAATTTTTTTTTTGTCTTAGTTAATTAGGGCTGCCTCTAGTTCCAGGGTCTCACAAAGAGTCTCCTAACATCTATTCTAAGCTAGGACATTATCTCTGTTGCCGTGGACATGGTGCATAATTGTTCTCTCAGGGTGCCCTTCCTCATTGCTATCAGTTCTGCCAGACAAGTTTTTTAATTGGCAGCCTTGACTCCTTTTTGATTATTCACAAGGTTGTTAGTTCTGAGGCCTTCTTTCTTCCTTAGATGATCTCTGGCTTCCACCTTAACCAGAACATTGTCCTACCATCCCTATTTCCATCTCCTAAACATCCTAAATAAAATGTTCACCACTGCCGGGATGTGGTTTGGGCCATCCGTGTTTACCTCTCTGCTATTGCTTCCATCTGCAAGTCAGATTCCCTCTTTGTCATTCCCTCTATGGGGCGACTGGCTTTTCATTTCACTATTGCTAGGTTAATTCAGTGAACTATCACTCAGACCTACGAGTTGAAGGGTTAAAGTGCCCCCTTTGCCTTCTCTACTTGATAGTGCTACTTGAGCATTTAAGCATCAAACGTCAGTATCCCATATCTCTAAGGCTGACACCTGTTCCTCATTTTATACTTTTGTCAAGGTGGAATTTCAGGCCTCAATGGTTTCTTGTTTTGCCTGTAAAATCTATTTCTTGGAGTAACCCTTCTGTGATACACTCTTGTACTACTATCTACAAAGCTGAGACAGGCTAAGAGTGGGAGGGGTATGCAGGGCTGTCCTTACAGCTTTGGTTTGCCAGTGTCGCAGGTCTTCTATAGCCTCCTTAAGTAGCGGAGGGGAGAGGGTTGCGTTGGGGAAAAGTAGGTTTTTTGGAGTGAAGGTCCACTTGAAGTAGTAGTGTGCTAATTTTCCCAGAATAGTGATGTGTACTGTGTTAGAAATACAATAAATGTATGTGCTTTGTGTTTGTGTTGATTTGCGTTTGACTTAATTTTATTCTTTCCACAGTGAATCTGCATGCCGTTTTTATAGTCAACAAATGAAGGGAAAGCAGTTAGCAATTAAGAAAATGAATGAGATACAGAAGAACATTGATGGATGGGAGGGAAAGGACATTGGACAATGCTGCAATGAATTCATCATGGAAGGGGCCCTAACACGTGTAGGGGCCAAGCATGAAAGGCATATTTTCCTCTTCGACGGCTTGATGATCTGTTGCAAATCAAATCATGGACAGCCAAGGTTACCAGGCGCCAGCAATGCTGAGTATCGGTTAAAAGAGAAGTTCTTTATGAGGAAGGTACAAATCAATGACAAGGATGACACTAATGAGTATAAACATGCTTTTGAGATTATCTTGAAGGATGAGAACAGTGTTATTTTTGCTGCAAAGTCAGCAGAGGAAAAAAATAACTGGATGGCTGCCTTAATATCCCTACAGTACAGAAGTACTTTAGAGCGAATGTTAGATGGGGCAATTTTGCAAGAGGAGAAAGAAGAACAGTTGCGCCTTCCAAGCCCCAAGGTGTACAGGTTTGCAGAGCCTGACTCAGAAGAGAATATAATATTTGAGGAAAATGTACAACCCAAATCTGGTATCCCCATTGTTAAAGCTGGGACTGTAGTGAAGCTCATCGAGAGACTAACTTATCACATGTATGCAGGTATGGTATCTCTGCATTCTCTTTTATAATTGAGCCTTAAGTAAAAAATTCTCTGTGGCCTTTTTTGTGTGTAAATTTGTAAGAAAAATGACCAAACTTGTTGAATTAGTTATACAAAACTTATGGCTAGCCCGCCATTTAACTGATTTAAGCATCACATGTCACACAATAGCCTAGTGTTTGTGACAAGGCATAATGATTATTGTGGGGCTCAGCAACAGTGACCAACTTTTTGTCTGCTTTATGGAGTGTGTACACTTTATTGTTTTGGGTTATTACAGTCTTATTTTGATTGCGCTTCTCAAGTCAATAAGAACTCTGATCTCCTACCCTGATTTCCCAAAGGGTCTGAATTTCACCCAGCATTTCCTGTGTTGGAGTTACAGTGCCAGAAATGCAGCAGAAGCAAGGGCCTCTTAGGAGATCAGTGCATAAGAGTGTTGCTCTATTCAGGGAAGAGCAAATAGGACATGGTAATGCGTGTGTTAGCTCACATGGTACTACAATACATAAAAAATGCACACTTTGCCTGTTTGTGCGCTACACTAGCATTTATTTTTAATGGCATCCCAACACACATTGCACGATAATGCACTACTGTAGTGCACTGAGTTACAAAATAGAGTGTTTGAACCTTTTTAATGAGTTTTGGTATGTTAGGCAGCCTATTTAAATGGCGCATAATGCATGTTAACACGCATGCGCTAATGCAGTGCATCAGTGTGAACCCAGCCTTTGTGTCCTGCCTTGCGTACCCTGATTTGATTTGTGCATACCCTGTGATGTGTAAACAATTAAGGAAAACATTTGAATTCTGTACCGCTGGCTCTAAACAAATAGTATGTTGTCAATGGAGTTCGTCTGATGGGTTCACAGGGTACTTTTTCTTTTTGTAATAGTTTTGTCAGTTTTATGCTTTAGCAAATGATGGATCCTATAATATGTATTTTGCTATGTACATAATGGATTGTGTGAATAAAATGACATACTATTAGGTGACACTGGTAATAAATGTACGTATGTCAAAAAGTACTTGAGACTGTGACCCATACTAAGGGGGTATTTGGTGAACATTCACGTCCATAAAGTGGACCAACTTTTACAGCTTCAGTATGTTAGAAGTGTGGAGTTCAATGAATACTCTTTAGTATGCATTACATTTTTGTAAGGAAAATGGGGAAAAATAAATTTTTGGTTCCTTTACACACATCAGTTTTTGATAAACCCTTTAACTTTTATTTGCACACTCTTTGTGTATTTGCTGTCATCTGGGAAAGAGGCATACTGCCACCTGCAGGCAGGAGAATTTTGTAAGCAAACTTCCTAGCATCACAATTATTGGCTGATGGGGCATTCTCAGGACAAGGGTCTCACACATGTGCTTGCTCCTAGTTCACAGCAGCAACATAGATTCATGTTTTTACAGCACAGGAAACTGCCTGATGTGTTTCTACAGTTTGCAGTGGTCAAGTAGTTGAAAAACATTGTCCAGTAAGATGTCTATTAAAGGGTACCCATTTGGCCAAGCTCTACAATAAAAAAAAATTGCTCCCTATCTACTCCTGTCATTGTTTGTCAACCATTTATAAATTGTGTTTGGCAAACTATTTCTTGCAAATTGTTATGATTGGCAAAACACAGCTGGATCATTTGCTTGGTACAATAAATGCAGTTGTGCCTGAGGAGTACAAGTCAAACAAACTTGCAGATTTTTTTGTAGTGACTTGAGTGTTAATATCAATTTCTATTGCTTACTGCTATTGTGTACATGTATTAAAACTGAATCCTTAGCCTATTAGCTAAAGAATTGTCATGTGTCCTGTCTGTGACCAGTTTTATGTATTGCAGTGAATATTACAGGAAATAACTGCGATCACTACCAAACCAAGAATAGGAGATTTCAGGAAACACAGACTGGGGGGGTTTTGAAGACCTTGCACATATGCAATAAAACTTTTTTCTTGACCCTACATCCAGTGGCGTAACAACCGGGGGGGCAGCAGGGGCGCGGGCCCCGGGCGAAAAGTGAAGGGGGGGCGCCGGCCGAAAAAAAGTGACATTTTCCTGCCGTTTTGTCGGCGCGGCCGTAATTCCTTTCATCCCCGCTGGGACACAGAGCAGTGCCCAGCAGGGATGAAAGGAATCAGAGAGAAAACGACAGCCGGCCGAGCGCTGCGGGACGAGCGCTGTGAGCGGCCGGTGTCTTTCCTCCCACACCGCTCGGCCGCCTATCACAGTGCAGCAGAGCGGTGTGGGGGCGGAGACAGCGCTGTCACAGGAGGCTGGGCTCTCCTCTTGCAGCCTCCTATGACAGTGTGTGTCAGAGAGGAGAACGGGTACAAGCACTCAGTGATCAGTGATCGCTGAGTGTTTGTACATAATTGAGGACCTGGTATGTATACTATATCCCCAATTATGAATGAATGGGAGTGATCTACATCTCCTCCTGTTCATTCATAATTGTAGTTATAGTAAACATACCATGTTATCAATGAACAGGAACACTCATAAAGGATTCCTGTTCATTGATAACAGGGGACACAGAAAAAGAGATTGAGGACTCTGTGTCCTCAATCTCTTTTTCTATTTTTAAATGGAAATATCAGGGGTCTGTTTAGACCCCCAATATTTCCCCGAAGCCCCTAAAAGTAAAGTAAAAAATAAAAATATTTAATAAAAAATTAATTAATAAATAAAAATTAATTTAAAAAAATGAAAAAGTTTCAAAAAAAATAAAATATTAAAATTTGAAAAATTAAAATAAAAACATGTGTGTGTGGAGGGGAGGTGCAGGGTACAGTTCCAGTGGTTGTTTATATAAGGGGGGGGGCGAAAAAAAATTTCTGCCCCGGGCGCCCAGAACTCTGGTTACGCCACTGCCTACATCACATGACACAGGGAGTTAAATTCTTCAACCACTGGGTTATTCAGCCAACTTCAGGTGATTGGACACTGGAAAATCAATGATGCCTAACCCCACCCACTCCCAGTCTGCCTCAGATTTGTGCTGGCTTTTTTTGCTCTAATAGAAGTTCTCTCTTTTACATTATTTTTCTCTGAGGTTTTTTCTGCAGATTTTTTTTTTTTCTGAGATTTGTTTTCTCTTGTAGCAAGTTTCCCTAAATGCTGCTCTAAGTCACTGTGACACCACCAGTAGCTATCCAGATCGGTTACTAGACCGTCCTTGACACTTATGCAGCGTGTGGTTTGCCATAGGGTGCTTTACAGTTCCAGGGCTGTGATTCTTTAATAGAGCTCTAACCCTGAAGAACCCCCTAGTGGTACACCGGAGAGTAAAGATTTGATGGCATGATCCCTGGTAAGGACCATAAGCCTCTCAGGTAAGCCTCAGGAAGCCCCCACATGTGCCCAGGTGGTAGGCCTAATAGCCTACAGGGTTAAATCTTCAGCCCTGGTGCAACTTCGATGTTTTAAGCCATGATCCAGCTTTAAGGATTCAAATTTGGTGCTAATAGTTGTTCCCCATGTGGCTTAGGGGCTGGGAACTGCACCTGCGCAGCCTCCTTCCCGGGAAGTGTACTGTGCTTGCACAGCCATATTCTCTGTTGGTGTGTGTATTCCTGGCTGGACATGTTTCCTGCTGCTGCTGCAACTCTGCACACATACAAGGGAAAGCTACACTGCTGCACTGTGCTGTTGCTTTTTTCGAAGTTTGAGTCACGTTTTACTGCCTACAGTGTCTGGAAACTGCTGGCCGTCAGTTTCGTACACACATGGTGGATCATAGGTGTGCCGTTAGTGTTGCAGGAGGCGTCTCTGGTGAGGGTTCCACCCCCCTCTGGGGACCCCCTGTTTGTGCTGTGCTGTGCCGTCTATCTTGCTGCTATCTACCTTTCTGCTGTCATCTGCAGAGTTCTTCTCTGCTCCCTCCAGGGCTCCGTCTTCTAACTTGTTATTCAGAGAGAAGTTTATCACTGTCATGGCAGATTATATGGGGGCAGTGGCTGATCTTAATTTATCTGGTCGCAGGGGCCCGAAGAATATTTCTGTTTGCCCAGAAATATGCTATTTATAAAGGTTTTGTTAAGTAAGCAGTCCCTTCCATGAAGCCTGCTATCTCTTTTTTTCTTTGAACAAGACCCTTACAGTTTCTGTATTAGATGTATTAGTTTTCAAGTCCCACACTTGCCAAAGTTTAGAAGCCCTCTTTAAGGTGTTATTTGCCCTTGCAGGCCCAATTGAGCAACCTGTGGTTGCTTCTTTGGCAGTATATCAGACCTTGTCAATTTGGTCTAAGGCTATCGCCAGTGACCCTGATGCCAAAGTTCTTGTACAGCAGGAGCTTTTCCCTGCAGCCCTGCACTATTGTGTGGACTGTCTGGTGGTCTATGCCAGATATCTAGAATGAGCCTTCTGTCCATATGCAGAGAATCCATTGGCTCCAGTGTTGGTCTGCAGAGCTCCGCTGCAAGAAATGCTTCGAGCGCATGCAGTTCATGGAGAATGCCTTTTTCGCCCAATCCTTGGATAGATACATCAAGCGAGTCAGGGGGGGAAGGAGCTGGTGGGGCGGAGGAGATACCTTCTTGCCTCAGAAAGAGAAATCTAAGACTCCAGTAGTGAAGTATTTGATGTCTTCTGGTCCCTCCCCAGGTAATTGCAGCTCAACTTCCTAACTGCGTGGGACAAACAGGTTTGATCCCTAGATCTCCCCATTCTCTTGTTCAGCGTAATGAAGCTTGCACTGGAGTGGTGGGTATCCAGTTCACTGTTGGAGTTTTCTAGTGACAGCTTGGAAAAGGGGTTCTTGGAGAGCCTCTTGGTCCAGGGGTCCTGGATGTCAGGAGTTTTGGCTTTCGGATACATATATTGAAGCTCAGAGCGAGTTGATTGTCTCATCAACACTGTACCTCCCAATTGCAGGGTCATCTGACCATAATAGTTTATATCAGCCATCAAGGAGGTATCAGATGTCGCTCGGTTTAAAGAGAAGCGAACCGGATTCTGGTATGGGCGAAACTATGCATTTTGGCCCTGTG